TCTGATGCCGTTTTGATAGCATAAAATGAAAATGTTTCATACGGAAAATAGCACGTAATTCGTAAGAACCCATAAAGCTAGAATTGCATATTGAAATAATGTACAACATTATTACATTTACCCAAAAATATTTCCTAATGTCAAATGGCAAATTTCAAATAACTGTAAATCGCAATTACTTTTGCATCAACGTGCAACTTCCGCAAAATTCAAGCATATGTTGAACATTTTTTCAAGATTCACTTCCATATCCATCATTTATAAGCCAGTATAGACTACCAGAGATAGATACCTCGGAAACTGAGACGGCTTACGATCGAAGGCACGATGGTATTTCATACTCGTTTACACACTACGACCCATATCGAAAACATCATGTAGCCTTCTTATTAGCGCTTTTGATATCGCTTGCATGTGGAGCGGTATTCAAAGGCATTCAAACAGCTCCACAAGATCAAAGTAGAAACTTTAGCCGACATTACGCTATGACAATTGAAACCTCTTCGGTCTGCATAATCATTTTGAAAGTACCATGCGATGGAAAATTTTAGTATCCATTGACTGTCGCCGCATTCCTAGCTAGTTCACTTATAAAGTTGGAATTGGATAAACAAAGATATGACTGTTATTGCGTTTTTCGGTATTAGTGAAACAGCGGGAAATAGAACTTCCATCAGAAAATAGACTGATATTCAGTCAGTGGTTCTTTCAGAAAGTTATTGAGCAATTTTGCACTTTTGATAAGAAGAAAGAAGACCATTTGCTTTTTGATTGTTAATTCCTGTTCAGTTACTTCAAAAGATCACAAGTGACACAGTTTTTCCTTAAATTATATGCTTTTGACAACCGTAGTCAAAACGAGCTGCTTTAGAAAGATAAGAAGCTAAGCACGCGTATGAAAACCTAAAAACATAATAGTAGAAGCGTAAGCGAACATAAGTTGACAGTGGAAGGAAAAGCTTACTGAGAGGAGTGAAACCCATTTCAACAAATTAAAAATGGAAAAGCTCCGCATAAACCATCAAACGCAGAAAAATGAACAAATGAGAAGGTTTTTTCAAAAACAAAAAGTTTTTTTATGATTCATACTTACGTGCCTTCACCGAATAGGAACACTGTGACGAGTGCATGCGGCGCGCGAATCTTCATTCCATACCTGTGCATATAGAATGGTTTGGTTTGGATAAATTGAACTTTCTACTTCACATTTCTCGAGACTTTTCATATAATGTCCGACTTACGTAAATCCATTTCGGAAACCTTTGACAGCTGAGAGGAGATTATGATAATTGTTGAGCGACAGTAAGCACTCATTTCCCAGTCGCTCACATTTTTCCGCTAAAGCGAGCAACGTGGTAATCATTGTGGGGCTAAAATAATCATACTTACAAAACATACATACTTCACAAAAGCAGAAAAACAGTCCCCATATGAGCATGTAAAAGAGTGACTAAGTGATACTTGCTATGCACATGATCGTCTTTCGTTGGATTCAACACACAAGACTAGCCGGAGTCTAAAAGGCATCCAACTAAACCATACTTGTGTGATAAAAGCACCGAATATAGATGAGTTGATTCATTAGAGTAGTTGATTACACTATGCTTTGAATCAGCTAGTGCTGCGACCAGAGGCAAATACTCAGGCATATTTTACAGGGACTGCTCAACGCATAGACCACTTGATCACTTTACTTAACCTTGAAGCAAAGGATCTGAATAAAAAGCCACTTCTGGAGCAAAAAGGATAATTTTGCGTTTGAGGTTTTTTTTATCTGGATTGCCAACAAGCAGAATATCTAGTGAAATTATTATACGTTCATTGCCTTAACCATTGTGCTATTCACTAACAAAAAATAATATTTCTAAAAATTCCCACGACCGACTATCGATAACCTCGGCATCGATTGATATTCCGTGATTATCTTTGCTTCAGCAAACACGAGGTTGTCAATACACGTTTATTTTGTACAAAATAGTACAACAGAGATCGTATCGGTGGCTAACGCTTCGGCAGTCTTGCCTTCCTCAAAGCCGTTATATTGATATGATAACCACTATGTATACCACCCGCACTGAGTCTCACATAAGTCACATTGTTTGCTGAAGCATAGATATCACGGAATTTTAGCAAAAAACATTTTCCAAACACATAAGGCGAGGTTAACTTCAGACAAATTTACAACGCAAAATAATATTTAACTTCTAGCCGAAAATATGATTTGTAAAAGAGAAGAAAGTGAACATGTAGTGGAAAAAATTATATGCTCAATGTTAACACAATCTAGAGGAAAGTAGGTTTTCATTCACTATCGACTCCACAAGGCTCAGTAGTAAGCTATAGCACAATTCACATTCGTGGTTTGCCACCCGCAATCAACGTTTACAAGTGGAAAAAAAGGTCCGCAATGAGAAAATAGTTTATAATGTTGTCAACTACGAAAATATCAAAAAGTGGTTCTATGATAATAGTATAGTGTAGTGGCAACATGTACTTTGAGGCACTGACTTGTAGAAGTTTGTCATTTCACCATTGATTGGTGAGCTGGTTCCATCAATGTCGTCAATTGGCGGAGATAACGTTTTAGGTCGGAAAGACAAGAACAATCGAACCAATAATTGATTCATCGTTCTTTGATGTTGAATTATATGTAGACATATATATATATATATGTATATATATATATACATATATATATATAAATATATATATATAAATCTTGTCCTATAGGTATATATATATACTTGTATATATACATATATACAAATATATATATATATATATACAATACCAGAAAGATCATATGTATATACACTTATACATATACACATTACGCACAAGCTTAAGTACATGCATACACACATGTGTGTATACATACGTGCATGCATGCGTGAATACATACATACATATACATACATGCAAACATGTATACATAAATACATACGCACATCCATCCATCCAATCATACATACATACATACATAGATACCTACACATACATACATACATATATACATACATACATACATACATACATATATACGTACACATACGTACGTCCATACATGCATGCATAAATGCATGCATACATACATACATATATGCATACATACATATATACATACATATATACATACATATGTACATACATGCATATGTACATACGCGCCTAGAAGCATGCAAATACGTACGTAACACAGCACAAAAACCCTCTTTGAGACCAAGTACAGTATGGAGATTTGAGCTTTCATTTGTAGCCAAAAGCCTAGAGGAAGGTTTCACATGACATGGAGTGTAAAGCGTTCGTCTTCGTTGACTCTCTATAAGGAGTGTGAGGCTCTCGAGAGAACTGACTATGAAAAGATCGAAAGACGGCCGGGTTCTGCCCGGCTGACGAATCTGTAAGAACGAAACACGTAAATCGGGCTGTACAAGAGCCCTTACCAGACCACATGACAAGTTGGCTCAAATAATAATGAAGAACTCAAAGGAAAGCTCTGATCAGCGATAATTGTGCTGAAAGTGTGGATTGATTTTACTTTTTGTGATCGTTACCCTACAAGAGTTCCTCATTTCACTGCTTTCGTAGTAGTGCTTTCAATTTTTCAAGGATGCAGAATGATATGCAGAACTCTGAATCTCGAGCGGGAGTTAAATGTGGGCTTCGTCCTTACCGCGGGAAAGTGTTAGTCATTACACTACCAAGGCCCTTGGTTGCTGTCACTCTTACTGCGATGTAGATTATCAAAGCTGTCATCAATAAAACATCGCTTGGTCTCTTAGGTACATATCAGCATTAAACTCAGCTGACTGCTGTTAGATATTTGTATCTCACTTTCCTTATTTCCTGGGTAAAACGCGACTTCAGTTCCCGTCTGAAGTTCAAAGTTTTTCATATCACTCCGCTGAATATAATGCTGTGCTTACTTCTTGTGCAGGATAAACTAAAATGCTGAAGGTTACTCATTCAGGATGCTTGCACTGGGGGGTTATTAAAGCGATATACATCGACCTGTAATGAGAATTTGATCTTCGTTTATAATATACTGCTAGTTTCATCACATCGGCATGAACAAAAATTGTGATGCTCATACAACATAAAAATCCAAATACATTTTCTGAGGAAGAATTTGAAAAAGCTTTATATTTGGAGTCCTTTATTTATTGTAGACATCTGGCTTGGCTCTATAAATCCGATGATCTTAGCGATTATCATACAGAAGTCAAAGGCATTTTTGATAAATTTCCACGAATTGAAGTTACATATATCGGAAATCGGGCAATATCAAATTGCAGCGAGGTTCTCTAGGACTTGACAACTGACTAGTTATTATCATCTTAGAATATTGACCTAACACAGGTCCATCACAAGGTTTTATTCTGCTACTTTTCCCCTCCTTCCTAATCGAAATGATCTTGGTCAATTACCCATTGCAGTTCGTCCTTGTGAGACAATTTTTTGTAGAGCATTGAGCAATGAATAATATTGAGCAAACCTTAATTTATTTGAATGTTCAAAAATTTGCAGTGCTTTGTAGAAGCTAAAGGAGAGTAGTCTAGCCTAGCTTACGATATTTCTGCGTTCTTTTCAAACACGAAAAAGAAATACCAAATCTTTGTCCGTTTCTGTTCAATCTATTGTGCTTATAGTTTTCCATTCGATTTTATTGTTTGGAAAATCTACGAAGATTTTTGGAAGTGAGTAACTCCGTAATATTGTGACAACTAAAGAATCACTACTAATGATCCTATTATAATGTGGAGAGATTATTATGATCCTACATTTCATCCATACCGACGACACATGCTACCACTTACACCACCGAGGTACTTTCGCACCAGCACTCATTCCACGCACCACCAACTTTGAAGTATCACTTATTATAATTTTCAGCTCAACTGGGTTTATAAAGCGAAATCGTATATCCGATCAAATCTGTTGAAGATTGATGGCTGATAGCTAACTTAGAGATGCTGAAGAATTAGTAATGTCGCAAATGTGCCTCGGTGGTGTAATGGTAGTACGCGTCCCCGGTATGGATGAAACGCGGATTTAATTCCCAACTGAGGCCGTGTTTTTGCTCATCACTCAATTCTCTTAGATGCATTGGAAACATCGTACCACTGCTAGAAAAGCAGTAAAAGTACTAGAACTTCTGAGCATTACTACTTTGAATATTTACGATTCTGTGGTCCTTTATTCAGTTGGAGAACGTTCACTCGTTAAGATGAGATATATTTACTGTGATACAAATTCTGTTAAGTATGATCACCGTAATCAGTTGCCATTGGCGTTTACACTAAGCGTTTTCGAATACCCATGTAGATTCTGAATGCATGCCTCATCGAATTTCTCCTTGGTTACTTCTTCTTAATCTCCGTGACTATCACATCATCAGACATCTCTGAATTACATATTATCTTACATTCCTTCTATTCACACCTAATATCCTCTACACAATCAGCTGTCTCACTGTGAATCAGAATTCTTTATCTGACCGCCACTTGCGGTGGTATGATCTTGTAATACGAGGCGGACGAGGAGGCCGAAACCTCCGAAACACCGGTGTATGGCCTTGGCGTACCAACCTCGTTTAGGCTCAAAACATTCTATTTTGGAATTATTTTTGGATCTTGTAATATACCCAATAATGTGGAGTAGCTGTGTAAAAGCATTTGCGTCGCCGGGATTCGAACCCAGATCTCAATCTTTCCGTGATCGTATGCTAACCGTTGCACCACTGACGCCTGTCTCACTATGCTACGACATTTTCGCCTTGTCGTAGAAGCACTGCTCCTACCACTAATTTCTCCGAAACTATTTCCTCTCATTTGCATTCACTTTCGCATCGAGGAGCGCGAACGTATAGAAGCAAAATTTTTGCACCGCCACCGGGCGCTGTGGCGGGCGCCTGTGAGCCAGCTGATAAGGCGGTAGATTGGTGTGGATGGAGTGAGGGGAGGAGTCCCGCGGTGGCCGTAGAGTGCGGCGACCGGGCGTCCGCGTCAAGCGTCGCGTCGCTAGGGGCGTGCCGCCGGAGGGTGGCGTGTCCCGGGCGGTCAAGGAGGGGTGCATGGCTCAGGCCCGAAAGGGAGCAGGCAAAAACCCCCGCGCAATGCGGTGGCAGGATCGCGCCCGTGAGCACCTGCACCATCGTGGCCTCTCCGATACCTTCGGACCACCGATCGTTTTGCTTTTGTATCATCTCAATTTTAACGTCCGAGTGATTTATCCTTGAACAAACACACAGTGACAGGGAGTTCTAACCGACAGCTCGACGAAGAGAAGCTTAAGCCACATTTTGCATTATTGACAAAAATCATGACCCAGTGATGAGGAGCTGAGTTTATTAGGAGACGACAAATGTATGCCGACACTTTGAGAATGCCTGGTAATCATTTTTTGAGCCACGCATGTCAGTGGTCTATCAAAGAGGGCTGACTTATAGAGCCCGATACACGTGTTTCGATCTTGTGATCTCGTCAGTTGGACAGTTACCCTTTCTCATCTTTTGCCAATCCTGTGTGGGTGCTCCAGTCCCCACACAGAAACACGTGTATCGAGCTCCATAAGTCAGCCCTCTTTGACAGACCTCTGACACGCTTGGCTCAAAATATGACTATCAGGCATTTTGAAATTTGAGCTGTGGTCTCAAGAAAACACTCGAAATGAAAAACTTTGAGAATACTCAAACAAGATTACTCAAAACAGTAGAAATGCCTGCCTTGCCGCCAACGCACGATTTTGATAGGTGCTATCGTCCGGTCGCCTCATTTGTACAGATGAGCCATCTTCACTCCCATATTCGTAGATTTTGCAAGTAGCTGCACCTCATTTTATGGTCCCACTTAAATCCATCGTCGTCTCCTTTTTGTAGAAAAATATGAAATCTCTGAGTATCTCACTTTTGACTTCCTTTTCAACTTGTAAGGATAATTCCACAGTATTTTCTTTCTAAACCATACACGAGATTAATTCAATTCATTTGATCATCTAACGTTTTGGCTATTTGTTCTTCTGAGCTCGGAAACATCGCGTTGTGCACAACCTAACCAGTCAAACACCTTCAATACTCAAACAAAAAGAAATCACCGAGTTTAAATTCGTATTGCATCAAGCGCAAAGCAACGTTTAACTGCTCTTATGAGTAGTCCACTGATTTGCTGAAAATGAGGACCAATCGTTTAGAGATCATATGAACTCCTAATGCACCTCCCACATCAAAATTGTGCTAGATCATATGTGATAACGAGGCATTTTTCCCCGTAATTTATGATTGGATTGATGGTGTTTGCCCAAAACGCTTCAACAATCTTACGCGCTTGTCTTATGTTTTTTTGCGAGAATGGTGATTTCCACATCAAAATCCCACCCATTATGTGTCTGTGTCCTATACGAGCCCAGTGAGATGTTTGGTTCAGCTTCAAGCTTTCGGGGTTAGGTGTTCATCCGAACAGACACAAAAATGCCTACCCGTTTCTCAAATTTACTTGTTCCCGCACACTTTACAGGACATTAGGTTAACTATCCCTACTCAATCTACTCCGTAGTTATTATCTGAGCCAACATGTCATGTGGTCTGTTATGGGCGCTTCTACAACGGGGTACACGTGTTTCGGCCTTGGCAGCCTCGTCAGTAGAGCAGGCTCTTCGTCTCTTGTCAATTCTCTCGGGGTGTCCCTACATCCCACAAATTGAGTAGGCAACCACGTGGGAATTTACGTGTCGTCAAGTGGAATAAATCACTAGATCGACAGTGTCGTACACTCGACTGGTCTTAGCTGCTCTTCTACTACTACTCATAAACTACCATTACATCGTTAGAGCATATGATACGCCCTATTGGTAGGCCACTCCTTGACCCCTTGTTCGTATGAAAGAACATTCACCGTGTAAACTCAAATCCAGGCCAAATTACACAATAATCCAAGCATAGGACACAAACACAAAACGGGGAGGATTTATAAGTATAAGTCACTATTTTCGCGTAGAACGTATGTCCCTGGGACGTGAGATTTTGTAACCATTAAAGCTCCATAAATTCAAGCATGAATCGTAGAGAGGAACGTCTCGCTATCACACGTGATATGTCTCAGTATATAAACAGTCATTATGATGTAACAGGTGTAGTGGCAGTGCATGTGATCTCTTCATGCTTGGGCTCCACTTGGATAACTTAGTGGACGACTCGAAAAGCAATAGGTATGTTGAAAGTTGTTTTGGGCTTGATGTAAGCGAAATCTGGGTCGGTATATTTTTTGAATTTTTCTGTCTGAATAATGGAACTGTTTGACCGACTGGGTTGTAGGCAACCTGATCTTTCCAAGCTATGAAGGAGGCGAAACTGCAGAAATGTCAACTGATCGGATAATGTTATATGAACCGTGTGATTGGCTTATAAAGAAAAATGGGTAGCCTTACGAATAATGTTGAAGTCACTCAAGTTGGTTTAAGAAGTAGTACAATCGCTCATCAAAGCCATCAGAAGAAAAGCAAAAGTTGCAGCTCGTCATCAAGATCAATCTATGCTAAGATTTTCATTGTCTAATCCACTTACTGTATTCTTCCTCACTTTTTCTTTCCTCCATCTGAAAATGCGCTAACCAACTTTCACAACTGATTTGCTTGAAAATTGTGACGTGAATATTCATCATGGTTTGGATTGTTTATTGCGGTTCAATATGAATAGCTGCTCTGTTATTTGCTATTAAAAATTAGTAAGTTACTGAGCAAATACCTTATATGGCGCCAGAAACACTAATTCAATAATCTTAGATTTTTCAGCCGCGTGGGTCGAAGGCATTTTAATGTTTCGTTCATAAAACAAAGGATTTTGGTAACTTCATGCAGCTTTTATTCACGAAGGCCGTTTTTGCGTAAGCTTCTGGTCTGGTGTTGCTTTCATTAGTGAGAGTTTCTGCGACGCCAAAGTTGGATGTGGATTAAAATATATCTAAACAAGTTCATAGAATCTCTCTGCACTCATATTCGTGACAATGCCTCAGCGTAATTTTTTCCTTGCTAAGAAAATGGCCTATGTACGACATTCCTAGGTTATCTTCACAGAGATTCACGCCCTTTGTGGGTCGAGGAGAGCTTTGGTACCTGGTGAATAGAAATTTCTTGGACGGCAGCGACTCATGTAATTAGTCGAACGACCGATCGAGGGCAATGGAACACCTTAGTTGAGTCTTCATATAAATCACTGAAGAATTTACTTTTAACGAAATGAACGGGGTGTAAAAACTGACACTGGAACGAGCAGTAAAGCTTTAAAAGTGAACAAGTTGCCTTTTTTTGCTGATTACTAAAAATGACGAAATGGCATTTTGGAAGAAAAACTTCTTCTCACCGTTTCCTCCTTTTCACCAATTTTTCCTCTTCAAACATGAAGATGCTACAAATCATTGAGGAGAAAGCGTAATAAATTTCGACCCACTTTCTCACTACTCACTAGAATAAAAGATACAGCTTTACCTTTGCTGAAATATCTCTATAAGCAAATGTAGTAAAAAATTATGCTCTTAGTATTTTATCATAGTTCCGCCATTCTTGTCGCTGCAGTTAGACTCCTCAATTACATTGGAGGTCTGATGTCACCCCTGGCTAAACAACTTTCCCAGTTCTTTCGTATTTTCAAATCGCTGTCATATTTGTTCAGAAGAAAAAGCACCGATTGCGTAGGTTACCACTGGTCAGTGTCCTTATCCCAGTTATGCATTCTCTCACCTGTACGATGCTTCGAGTGGAGACGGAATTATGATAAATCCCAAAAAGATTGATTAACGCGGAACCATTTTTAGTGCCTCTTGAGCCCTGCTGCAATTCTGTTCATTCCACTCGTTACTCTTGCTCACAGATTATAAGCCGTCAACTTGATCGGATGTTGTCAATGTTTACACGAATCGTACTTTCTAGACGGTCACTCTACATAGTGTCCCATCCGTTCCAGTAACCACGCCCCTATTGACCCCGCCTTCTTTGGTCGAACTCCAAGTTTTCCACTCGAAAAAAGCGTGTCTAAATCTATAAAGTTCTTCGTGGAACAATAAGAATTTCTGTCTGCTTCGT